TATGCTCACCGTTACAGATGCAGATGCACTACATTAGTGCCTTATCCTAAGGCACTTTGCATATCTACCTGAAAACAAATTTTCATGTATAAATATGGTTTCCGTCCATCCAATCCTGTAGAACCCTGAGTAAATCAGTGGTCAGTCTAGTGTTTACACAACACTCCTTTTGAAAAGATAAAGAGTTTTGGGCTTCATTCATATAATTTATTCTTGTATCTATTATTCCTATTATTTAGAAAATAATCTAAAAGTAAATTTGGTTTAATGAAGTAGACTGCTTATTTCATTCTCACTAAAAAGAACTTTCTATGGGAAACCAGCTAAACACAACAGGAACAAAAAAAAAAAAAGAAAAAAAGCTACCTAGGTATTGTGACCTGGTGGAAGTTGTTAGAAAGCAAGCCCTATGCATTGTAGAGATTGCACTCTGATCAGCACCACACTGCTCAAGAGCAGAAAACGCACACACAGATTTTCCACCTCAGTGCGTCATACCAAGAATAAAGAACAAAGCATGACCAGCGGCACTCGAAGTGCACCTGAAGCAGAAGAAAACAGGCTATGTGAGACGCGCTGTTTGCTCTGTCAGTAACTCTGCTCATCCCAAGGGCTGGTTCCAATGTGCACTTTGTAGCGCCCCAGCAGCAAAATAGAGACTCAGACCATGCAAAGGTAAAACATCATCTGTGAAAGCAGAAGTCCTCCAACTGGGCCATGATACCGTGTAAAACTGGAAACACAATGTTACATTTGGCATCCACCATTGATGAGGACATTTTAAAGAGAAATCACTGGAACTGCATGGAGGCTTCTGAGCAGCACAGGTTCTGGAGGGCAGACCCCAGTAAGTCCCTTGTGCCTGGGCCTTTGCTAAAATACAATGAAATTTGACAGGAAAGTTGCAAGTTCATCCACTTTTAATTCTTTTGAAGACAAACCATTCAAACACTTCTCAAACACATCTTTAAATTGGTACTGCCTGTTCTTTTCACTGCCCACTATCAAAAGACTTGGAATTTGAAACAAGCTCTAAATATTTTGCCCCTTCAGATAAAAAAAAAAAACAGAAAAGAACTGCTAGAGTGGAAAAACTGGTGGCAAAATTTTTAAAACTAAGAATAATTTTGACTGCTATGAAAACTGGTGCTATCAATATGCTGTGAAGATGACTTAGTAACAGGTGCTGTCGCACCCCATCTTCTTCACCCAACTATTGAGTGGGAGCAGAAACTTTAATAAATCAACATACTGAACCAATTCTTATATCTCCTTATTACTTTTTTCACAAAAAAAAAAAAGTTTCATCAAGAATGCTTATAAATCAATACATATTTAAAATTAAAAGCCCAGGTGTTGGGGTTTTTTTTTGTTTCTTTTTGTTGTTTCTTGTTGTTTCTTTCCTCACAAGTATCCTGGTTGCATCTGTTTCACAGGGAAAAACCTTTTGCAGGCTTAGTTCAATACTGCTAGCATCTGTTCATACGTCTGTATACCCAGAGCTTCCATTGGCTCCTTCTCCTGTACTTTTTATGACTGTCCCACTATTCTAATAAAAAGATGTAATCCATGTAGACACACTCTAGTTAGCACAGACTGACAGGCTACAACAGCAATGACATGCAGAAGTAGCTGTAGGGAAGACAGGGCAGATTAGAGAATCTCTAAGAGTTTTGTATTTTGTAAAGCATAAATGTACTTGTAGGACACATTCTGATCGAAAGAGCATAAAAATCCAACAATTAAAACCCTCTTCCATGACAGCAGATGACAAGACGACTAAACCCACTTCAACTAGTATGGCCCTCAATGAAACTTTAAATACAAGACTTGCAAGAGATAATAACAAAGATATACATTGGGCATATGTAAGGAATTACTGCTGAGAACTAAGGCTGAGTTTATTGGCATATTTTTCAGTTTCCCAGTTATTGATGGCTTTCCCTTCCCCTAGTACATTCCCCTTTCTATTTCCAGCTACTTCAACTGTTATGCACTTTCTGCTGACCCCACTTTGGCCTGGGTTTTGCACTCACAAACTCAGAGTCACTGTGCAGATTTTCTCCTTTTGAAGAAAAGGTAAACTGGTGGAGTCAGTGGAAAAGCAACGCTCCTTTGTAGATCCTGATGACGGTAGCAAAGGGGAAAGCTGGTTCTTTTGCACCTTAAATCAAGAGGTATTAAGCTGTAATACACTATTAGAATCTAATGCATTTTATTACTAAGGCAACAGGTCCTCTGTCCTCTAAGAACCGAAAATAATCACCACCTTTTCTGTCCTTGACTCTCCTAGCATTGACAATGACTAAGCATTGGTGGTTCACCCTCCAACTTGTGCTACATAAACTGAAAGAGGCGTTGGCTCTGCACAGCCAAAGGGACAGTCACCTCACCTCCAGACCATGGCTTTAAAACAAGAGCTCTGTAATTCCTGGAACAGCTTCTCTTCTGAGAGAAGCACAGAGACAGACACTCCCTCGCTGCACATTCACTTCTTCGCAAGAAAAAGAAATGTTGCTAACTATATTAAGATGCTGACAATAATATGAGCAGTTTGGATAACCTAGAGTAGGCAGAAGTCCTTGCCAAGTACATTTCCAACTAAAGACAAGGTCATGTTAAAAAAAAATACTTCTGCTTCGAAGTCTTTCAAACCATTTCTCTCCTAGCCTTCACATGGTCACACAGAGACCTGCAGCAGATTGGGACAGAAATGGCACTGCATCCAACCAAACTCTTCACTGGGAAAAACGAGCTCACTCTGTGAAATAACTTAAGACACTGAAACAGTCTTTAGTATCTCCTTCTCCTCTCCTTCCATCAGGCAATTTTGGAACTATATTTCAACTGACACTAAAGACAGGTCTTAGGAAGAAAATTTTTGTTCTATCCCTGGTACGAAAATAGTGGCATCTTTAGCATAATCTTAACTGATGTCTACCTAATCAAGAGTGGCACTTCTCAAACTGCAGTAAGGAAAATTAATAATCAGTCACTCCAAATTACTAAACATAATTTAAAATAAATCATATATGCAGCCTCAGAAATGCAAACGAACTGCCTTGTAGACATTCAGTTAAAGCAACCAGAACTAAAGCACACAACCAAAGCATCAAATCAGATTCATGTAAGCAGTATGCTCTTACAGTGTTTTGCTATTCAGTTTATTTATATCTGTCTTTAGCTACAACTTACTTTCACTGCTCCCTTTAACTCTCTTCACCAGAAACAGGTCTCTGCCAGATTCTAAGCATCAGTTTATTCCCCTCAATGCCTGACAATGGAGGAGGGCTGTATCAGATTTTTTTTTTTATCCCACTGTTTTATTCTACCACTAATTATCCAGTCACAGATCCGCTGCATATTTCGTTCAGGTTGGTGTTTTTGGCAGTAACTGAGACTTCCTTAGAAAGTTCACTACAGTTCACTTATTATCTGTTGCTAATTAAAATGAGCTGTTTTACTGTCACGAAAGAAAATCCTGTTACAGAAACTAATGAGCTACCACCTTCAGTAACTGAGCGGATGTGTTTACAAGCATGAACATTTAATGCCACTGCCAATCAGGTCTAATTGGGATTAACCTTTGAGTATTTACTACTGCTAATAAGTTTAGGCAGAATTATAGAGAAGCACCGTCAGCAAAGTGTCAGTGAATGAGCAGATGCCAACAATGTAGGAGACACTTCTCCCAACTATAAAATTCACAGAGTGCTTAAATTAACACAAGCAAACTATGAATTACAAGTGAGGTTATGATTTTCTTAAAAAAAATTGCATTTTTTTTTGGTACTAAAAAGTGTTCCTCCTAGACAGGACCAGTGAGAAGCAAGAGATTGCTTACTAATATCAAACAATGTACTGCACTGCTTTGGATACACTATTTATACTTAAAAAGTTCACCTCTAGAAAATGTACTAAACAGTTTCAGCACCTGTATACACACAGGTGCTCCCTACAGACCAAGGGTATTTGACCACATGTTAAGCATGCAAGTCTGAGTCTCAGACTGGGTAATCAGATTTTGTTGAGCGCTGAGCACTGCAGTTCCCTAAGGACTGTAGGAGCAGCTGTGGATCATCACAACCTCCAACAACAAACTTGGTAATTTGGGAGATTGAAGTATGTACATAACAAACTTAAGGCAGTTTACTTAACCCCGGCAACTCCCAGTTAGAAGCGCTGTACTTTCTGTTGATGAAGCTGTATCTTAGGAGAAAGAATGGCTAATTATCTGCTATTAAAAACAGAGCCACAGTAAAGAGTGATTCTATACCTGGAAATTTAATTGATTTGGTCCTCTGTTCACATCAGTCTATCAGCATGGGATGTTGTATGAATCACCAGGGTGTTGTATGAATGTCTTACCAAGAAAGTTTTGGGTCAATTTTTTTTTATTTGCTTAAAATGAAAAAAAAAAACCCACAAACAAAAAATTGGCTTGATTTTTCTAGATCAACAAAGGGCACAGTAGAAATCAACAGGACACAGAAATAAAATCATCCCACCCTTATTACAAAGAAGACACCAAAAAACTCCAAACCCTTCTTTGATTATTAGTGCTTGAAAAAAAAAACCCGTGATCCATTGAAATAGTCAGCCTCTCCTTCAGGACCTTCTTTGAAAAGAATCAGAGACACTATTTCTGTTCTATTCTTGTTAATTCCTGAAGGAGGGGAGCCTCATCCTGAAGGATGAGAGAGGGACTTGCGCTGTTTTTCTAATTTGTTTTTAGAGGAAGGAAGGAGGAAAGGGGATTAAAGAACAACAGTATTTGCACAGTACACAATATCTCCAGAACAGATGTTTTTGTTTCTATGGTAGCTATGACAACACAAATGCAAATTTTAATCAGACTCAAAATATTTTTGTGCAAGTTATCAGGAAAGATTTAACTTCTTGATGAAATACTTAGAAAGTTTCCACTAGCTCTTAAATCTTGAGATTTCAATCTCCAAGAACAATCATTTACCACAACAGAATGAGTACAACAGGCAAGCTGTTTTAGAAATTATTTAATTTACAAATGCCATACACTGTTTCTTAAGACAACTGGTGGTACAAAATCTTACCAACTCTTAGTTGGCTGCATTGATGTAAATAATCTTTTTAGCTTCATTTACACTAGGAAGTCAATTTCTCCAATAACGCCTCTACTCCTTTTACATTTTTATTCAGCTTCAGCTTTGGGACAAGCTTTTTCAGTTCTTTTTTTACTGTATTTGCCACTTTTTGATCAGCGCTCCGAAGTAAACTAGAAGAAACAGGAAAAAAACCGAAAGATGTCAAAGGCCAGCACGTAGGTTACATCCTCGTAGAGAAAAATCAACTATTTAGGAAGAATACAGTTCAGGGCAGATTCTGTTACCTCCCATTAGAAAAAGACTTAAAACTTTCCAGAAAGCATGAAACACCAAGTGAGAACACAACCAACACAGGGTAAATCAGACATGAAGGAACTGCAAATCCTTTCTCAAAGCAGGTTCAGACATTGGTTTCTCAGTGCTTCACCCAGCTGAGGCTTGAAACCCTCCAGTGCAGGAGAAGACTCAACCTCCCTGGGCCCCAGTTCTACCAGTGGGTTGTCCTCACAGGGAAAAGGAGTCTCCTTATTTCCGGCCTGAGCCTCTCCTCTTTCAGGTTGTGCTGCTGTCTCTTATCTGCCACGCATCGCTGTGAGAGGCCGGCTGTCTCTCCTCTGTCCCTCCCACTGGTGCTGGGGATGCTGTTGGGTGCCCCCAAAGCCATCCTTTCTCTGACCTGAACTAGGCCCAGTCCCACAGCCTCTCGTCCCAGGCCAAGGAATCCAGCCCACAACCATGCTGGTCACCCTCTGTTAAACTTGCTCCAGTTGGAGGTATTTTTTTCTTGTAACAGGAGTTCCTAAAACTGAATGAATGTCAGTGCACCTGACACACATCAAGTACTTTCACTGTTGTACTGCCATGCCTCATTTAGTGCAGGACCACAGAATTTTATGAGTTCTGTTCTTTTAAAGTTATTACTTTTGAAAAACAGCATGACAACAGTACACTGACAAAACACTGTCTAAATAACTTAATGTCTTCTACAGCCAATGTGTGCAATGCAGAATAGAATTAGAAGTTGCACTGGCATACAAATAAACTAAGATTGGAAACTGTAACACCTGTGTGCTGGTACCAAGCAGGCTGTATAATACTACAAGCCTTTACAACCTCTAGGACACTTCCAATCAGCTCCCAGATTTGCAGCTACCTAAAAGCTTGTTTCTTGCCTACTTTTAAACAAGGATTAGACATGGCAAGCTGAACCAAGCAAGACAAAAAGGAATTAATGTAACTTAACATGACCTTTAAATTTTGTCTTCTTAGGACTCCAAATCCTGAGTAGGATGGCAACACTACAGGAAGTAAAGCACGGGATGCCCTTCTGACAACACCATCATTTTCAGCTACTTAATTCCCAGATTAATTTCTATGTGACTAACAACTTCTAGCAGCAACTTCTATTATACTTTTAGCTATGATTGTGCTATTTAAACAAGAGACCTTCTTGAAAACTGAATTCAACAGAGATGAGGGTGATAATTCTTCAGTTTTTCTGTGAGTCACGTACCCTGATAACAGCAAGAAAAGAGTACCGGCAAAGGATGTACCAAACGCAAAGGTACTTAACACAGAGAATCAGGTTCACAGGGTTGACCATCAGGGACAAAGAGCATATAAAGCAGCAAGCCACTCTGGACTGCACTTTATGTATTTCAAAATACAGGCTTCATCTACCAACAGCTATACACCTAAAACTGGTCTCAAATTCTTGGTTTCCACAGATCTCTCAAGCCACTGTATTTTTAATATAGAACATCTACATGCGAGATAAATGAAGGCAAAAGAACCCCACAGGTTGTTGGGGTTTGGTTTTGTTTAGTTATTATTATAAAAGTTCTTCTAAGATCTGGTAAGCCAGCACCTATTTTTTTGTGGATACAAAAAAACCCCAACTTTCACAGGTTACAGAAATTACATATGGAAATCACTAAGTTATATGGTGAACTATGCTTTTATCTACTTTCTAGCGTGGTGATGATGTGTTAACATAATTGACAAATTCAGAAAGTACTGATGAAATGTCAGATGTAGAAATACAAATAGATTAGCATCCATGACACTCATTTACTTACAACTCTTCGTTTACACCAAAATGAATCGTAATGTCTGCAAAGACCCTTCATGCTACCTTAGCCCTCGTCACACCTGTTCTAGGTCAGAACCAGGCCTCAGATTTTTTTATAAAAATCAAATTAAAAGCATCAAGGACAATGAAAGGAGAGGGTACAGAGGATATCACGTAACTAAGCACTCAAGCACATGTAAGAACTGATCATAACTGGTGAATAAGTTTAACCACTAGAAAGCCAAAAATCCTTAAATGGATGGACTGGGTAATTCTGAGTTTCAGATCTACAGTGACAGAAGGCTTATGAAAGCCAACAACAAAACAAAAAACAGTAACAGCTTCATGGAGAACTGGTAGTATCTGAAGGGATCTGAGATTCTTTATGATAAAAGAAGTATCTTTTTTTTTAAAAATGAGGTTTTTTAAAACTCAACAATTAAAAAAAAACAACTGCAGTTACTGTCTATACCAGACAAAACTAACTTTATAATTGTTCTATGACTTAGGTAACCTCTCAACTTCAGTGCACACAGTTAAACAAAGACAAGATTAATTACTACTTGCTACCAGGGTAAGCAGGTGTCACATGAAACTGAACAAAAGCAGCTGGTTATGTTTTGTGTTCTCAGCCGCCTAAACAAGAGCGTGTCATGTCTGAAGAGTCATCAAGAGACATTATAACTACAAAGGATTCAGATTTAACTAAAAATAAAACCAACACTTAAAACCAAAATTCCGGCAAACTCTCCCACACTTCTGTCTCTCTCCTGCTAGGTGGGTTTCAGTATTGGTGAAAAATGTCAATCTGGGAGATTAGCTCCCCTAACTGGTAATAAAACACCTTTCCCTAACCCCCACCTTGTAGTGCCATGAGTAATAGCAGAGGCTGACATTCCTCACAGGCTTTTCCATAAAACACACTGCTCCTGTGCTGTTTTTTGCTAATAAGCAATTACCAGTTTCCTGGTTTTTCTGTATTTCTTTAAAATCTATTAGAAGATTGCCATCACAGTGACAGCCAAACAGTCATTAAAGTGTTATGCATGGAAAAAACTCCTCTAATTTACTTTGCAACTTTATTTGGACAATCAAAGTAGCTTAGATGAATCTCCTCAGCCTTAAGTTAGGAGAAAAAATTCCAAACAACACAGTCAGTGAGCAAGCCTTTATAACAAACCTCTACTCAATATCTGTGCACAGAATCAGATAACTTAAAGGCATCAGATGCATTTATTGAATTCTAAAGCCCTGTAATAAGAGGGAAAGAAAATGTTTTATAACTTACTAGCTGAACAATCTTAACAGCCAGATCCATATGACTATTACGATGTTGTGTAAACTAGCTTCATACCTAGATTGCAACTACTGTTCTATTACCAATTCTTGTTACTAATGCTCTGAATAACCGTAAATAAAGTTAGAATTAAACTCATATTAACTAACAGTTAAAACAGTTAACATCAGTTAAAACAGCTTTTGATTCACTTTGAAAAAGAGTGAGCATCAGAGTAGCCTCACTCTAAAGTCACAAAGAGCAGAGACGGAAAGCAAAGAGCAAGCTGTCTAAAGTAACTTTAAGAGAGGGAGAAGTGAGGTGAAAACAATGGAGAAAAGGTTTCTATTTCTCAAAATCATATTGTGTTTGAATTGTTTGCTCATTTTGGCTCAGTGCGAGTCTTTATGAGGAGCCAGCAGTGCAATGCTGACCCAGCAGTTCCACAATACAGACCACACACTTCAGGCTAAAGACCTTGCGCTTCTGTGACACGACACTGACACACAGTTACGTGAAAGTAAGAACAGCAATGATTAACACAGCTGTCTGCATTCAATGAAGGAAAATGCTAATGTCAATCCAATTCCTGTGAGTTTTTTTTGGATCTCGTTACATGATTCACTGCTTCGAAGTTGTGAGCTAGTTAGTTAGCTCATCATACACCTTTGCATGGTCTGTTCTTTTGTATAGCCTATTCCAATCCCTTTATTACTTCAGTATGAGACATACTTAGGCTCTGTAATTAAGTTATCAATACTAAGTAGCAAGCTACAAAACAAAAAAACTGAGTTCTTAAATGCTGCCACCAGTCACAGGTATTTCAGAGTTAATTATTTTAATGTAGCTATTTGTGGACTGCTCTTTTTAGAACTTTGTGTTTGTAAAACAAGAGAGGGTAGGCACAATTTTAAAAATCCGATTTTTAATCTTAAGAATTTCCAACATTGAGCTACTTCCTTGTACTGCAAAGCCATGAGCTCAAGATACAACCTATGGAAACCCTGGTCTGAATTTCTCCAGTACTCTGTTCTAACACAGACTGTTTATCACAGGAAAAAAAAAAAAAAGGGCATTTTGCTAGCAGAAATTTCAACTGGTGTTCTCTTAGTCATTCAAGAAATTAGCACTGCAACCTAATCAGGCCCTGTGCCTTACATACCAACAGAGAATAATGGCACCTCGATTTACTTCTGCCCAGGTCTTCATATTCTCAATACCAACACGTTCTACCAACGTTCTTCCAAAGCAAACTGTAAAATGGGGAAAGGGGTAGGGAGGAGAAAAATATTAGACATTAACTTTATGCAAAGAAGCCCGATACAAGATCTCTGCAGTTGTGATTGAATCGAGAAGTTTTTAGCGACCAAGTATTCACAAAGTTTTGACCTCAAAATCAGTGACTGTTCAATGCAACGAGGAGTACCTTTATAGACGTTTGACTGCTTCTAAGTATTGCTTAAAACTAGACAATAGCAGCACTGTGTGACAGTTAACCAATACAAGAGTTAATTATATGCAATATAATGACACATACACACCTCTGCTCAAAAATGTGAGGTTTTTAAGCATCTGACTCTACATACTAAGGAACAGAGTTTGCAGAGATTAAGTTACACAAAACTTCAAAGCTAAGCCTTTACTGATGCATGAATTTTTTTAGGAATCTTGTTTCTTTCAGCTGTACTGATGTTACAGTGCTTTACCTCCTCAGCAGCTTTAAAGGTGACTTGCAGATTCATTACAGTAATGGCATATGCAAACACAGAATCACAGAATGTCAGGGGTTGGAAGGGACCTCAAAAGATCATCTAGTCCAGCCCCCCTGCCAGAGCAGCGTCACCTACAGTAGATTGCACAGGAACGTGTTAGGTTTTGAATGTCTCCAGAGAAGGAGACTCCACAACCTCTGTGGGCAGCCTGTTCCAGGGCTCTGTCACCCTCACAGTGAAAAAGGTTTTCCTAATATTTTGGTGGAACCTCCTATGTTCCAGCTGCAACCTTATCCTGTCACTGGACATCACTGAGAAGAGCCTGGCTCCATCCTCCTGATGCTCCCCCTTGACATATTTATAAACATTAATGAGGTCACCCCTCAGCCTCTTCTTCTCCAAGCTAAAGAGACCCAGCTCCTTCACCCTTTCCTCATCAGGGAGATGTTCCACTCCCTTCATCATCTTTGTGGCTCTGCGCTGGACTCTCTCCAGCAGTTCCCTGTCTCTCTTGAACTGAGGGGTCCAGAACTGGACACAATATTCCAGATGTGGCCTCACCAGGGCAGAGCAGAGGGAGAGGGGGACCTATCTCGACCTACTGGCCACATCTCTTCTAACACACCCCAGGATGCCATTGGCCTTCTTGGCCACGAGGGCACACTGCTGGCTCATGGGCATCCTGCTGTCCACCAGAACCCCCAGGTCCCTTTCCCCTACACTGCTCTCCAACAGGTCAGTCCCCAACCCATACTGGCACATGGGGCTGTTCTTTCCCACGTGCAAGACTCTGCACTTGCCCTTGCTCAATTTCGTAAAATTTCTCCCCACCCAACTCCCCAGCCTGTCCAGGTCTCTCTGAATGGCAGCACAGCCTGCTGGTGTGTCAGCCACTCTTCCCAGTTTTGTATCGTCAGCAAACTTGCTGACAGCGCTCTCTAATCCCTTCTGCAAGGCTCTGATGAATATGTTGAACAGCACTGGCCCCAGTACTGACCCTGATGGACTCCACCAGACACAGGCCTCCAACTAGACTCTGTCCCATTGACCACAACTGTCTGACTTTTTTCCTTCAACCAGTTCTCAACCCACCTCACTACCCAATCACGCAGACCACACTTCCTCAGTTTAGTTACAAGGATGCTGTGGGAGACGATGTCAAATGCTTGACTGAAATCCAGATAAACCACATCCACTGCACAGCCATCATCCACCCACCTGGCTATGTCCTCATATGACAAGTCCCCAACTGAATTAGAAATGAACTTCAGGAAACCTGCTCTTCCAACTTGATTGCTGAGCAAACTTACCAGTAAGGAACACAAAAAGCCCTTGCCCAACCCCAACAAACTCCAGTGTCCAAAGAAACACTGAAGCTGTTTTTCTCTGTCACTTCAGATCAGAATTCCATCTGAAGAATGCTCATCTTATGCAACTTGTTCCCTATAGCCTAAAAATTTGGTTGTTTTTTAACACCAGTTCCATAAACTCAGTGCAATGATTCTGAATGCACTCTTGGGAAGAAAACAGAACAGAGGGAACAGCTTGTGTTTAAAACAAGAATCGCAGAATGTTAGCAGAAATAAATCCAGATAACTGCAATAATCTCAGGCTAGTCTCTGAAAGGCACTCGTATAAAACTCCATTTTTAGTCATCCACTCAAGAAGTAGCAAAACAACCTCTCTTTAAAAAACATTTAAGAAAGCCCAACTAAGTTTCATTTTTAAAGGACAGTGGATAACTGAATGTAGTAACAGAAAAACAAAACAAGTTTAACAAGGTCTGATAATTCTACAAAGAAAAAAGACCCCTACAGACAGGTTCCCTCCAGATTATACTATGCCACCCCAAACTCTTTCCATTTTTTGAGGTTTTTGCATGAGAAAATGTAATCTCTATTAGGATACGTTGATTCACACAAGATTTTAGAGTTATGTAATAAGTTTAAAAGCTATGTTAAGATTAGAACATCTGTGCCCAATCTCTGCCTTCTGGGATATAAAATAGCAAAGATGTGCTATTTTTGTGCATGAATTATTATAATAACAGTTATAAAGCACTGACCCAGCAGCACTAATGAACACAGTGAAGATTAGTTTAGCTCACAAGCAGTAATGACACAAGTCTTCCTGTTAGAAAGAATCCTTAAAATTGATGTGTAATTTATGAAAACTATCAAGACTTTTTAAGCATAGAAATGAACCCTGTCCCAAATAGACAATAAAGCCCTGAGAACCAGTACTTGCTTTGCAGGAAAAGTAGATCTATCCTTGGCTTTCTGCTCATGGAACAGCTCACGACAGCAAAAATATAGAAGCAACAATCTTGGAGGATATATTAAACCTTCCCTATATTATCATATTCAAGAAAATAAATGCAGCAATCCTATTTTACCTCAGATAACAGATCACTCTAAAGTAAGAATTTGAATAAAAAAATCAATAAAGCTGAATTTCCAACATACCTTCTTTTCCACATTCTTTCAGTTTTTCATCTTGCTCTATTAACCACTTCAAAACTAGATGGCCTGCTGGATGCTCTGCAATGTGAAGCTTTAAGGAGAAAAAACAAACCAAACCAAACCCAAATTATTTAATGACGATGTTTCCAAATGCAGTTACATACCTGTCCATAAATACTCTTACTTGCTTTATCACCTCTGCCCTCACACACCACACTGATCCATTTAGTCATCACCTATGCAAATATCAACAAGTTCGATACAAGTATCTCAATACTTACTTAAATTAACCAGCTTAATTTTTACCACTTTCCTTGTAACAACTGACTTGCAGTAACATAAACTCTATCAACCTATGTTTTATCCACTCATACAAGGACTTCATGCTTACTGACCAGAATCTCTTGGTCTAGCTGCCTCTCTAAGAACTTCCTGACTTTCTACATTTTCATAGATTTGAAAATTCACTGCAGTCTAGTTCACAGAAAATCGCAGAAAATGTAAGCACTTCACGTAAAATTCTCTAAAGTGCCTATCCTGAAGAAGGGGACAGACAGCAAATTCAGCACAACTATGAAAATCTGGAGGGCATCTAACTTAAATATAGTTTACACATCATTTTTTGCCTTCTAGTCTACAGACACCTATCTGACTGAGCTTAACAAAATAGGGGAGGGGCACACTTTGAAGAGAAGGTCATACTACAAAGATAAACAGCTATTATCCAAGATCCTTCCTTGCATGGAGATACGCATACCTGAAAGCTAAGAGACCCTAACATTCTCAGCGTTAAACAAACTATAAAAATCTACTAACTGTTCAGCTGCATAACGATAACATTAAAAGAGAGACTCTGTAATGTGACTGTTAGCTACCTCCCCACAAAGCGTTTAAAGTAGTTCTGAAGATTCACATAGTACCTTGCTCTACAAAGCATGAAATACCAGCTCAAGCCTTCATCACTCCAGATAGAATAATAATAAACTACAAAAGGCCAATGTCAGTAAACAGAGATCATGTCTAATAGGAGTGCTGTCAGGGCAGCACATTGATGTCTTACACAATGGAAAAAGTGAGCAGACTGTATTTTAGTAATACAAAACAGGCAAACGCCTTGCATGACCTCAGCACCTCATTCTCTGTTACATCACCTGTCCATCACTGCCACCTGGAACCAGCTCTTCTGCTGCTAAATTAGCAATTGCATCCAGTGCTGGCTGGACATCACCAAGAGCTGTTCTTAAGATGTCGGTAACCAAAACAAACGTAGCTTTGTCTGTCACTACTTCTTGGGTATGTTCTTGCAAATATTCTAGCAACGGCGAGGAAATTGCTTCCAGGAGCTCACGGTGGCGGAGTTCAGTGTTCTTCTTACTAGCAAAAGAGACAGCACGTTACTGTAGAAGACTTTGTCTCTACACACATCCAGAAACAAGAAATCTAGAACATATTTGCAACTGAGACAGCCATAAATCATTGAAAGACCAAAACAAAGCATCATTCTTCCCTCTTTCACATCCAGTTAAACACATACTGCACACGTTTTAGGAACACATGGCAGTACAGCTGACTGCCAGTAAACCTTACAGCTTTTTGTTAACAATGATAATTTAACATCTATTTATTTCCTATTACCTCAACTATTGAGATGTATTTCTTAAAAATAATCATCATCTAAAATTGCTCCTTCTTCAAAAGCTGATGGGCATCAACACCAATACCAGAGAATGAGTTCAAGTTCAAATTAACAACTTCCATTTTTACGTCTAGATTTTGAGATATACTTTTATGCAACTCAAAACACCAATAATACATATTAAAGATTTTCGGCTACATCAAACTTGGCATAGAAGTTTAAACAAAGAACACATAACAATTTTTGCCCTTTATGAAGCGAGTAAACAGCTGATCACCAATACATTTCTCGTCATCAATCATCATATATGAACTCTAAATCAAAGTTGCAAAAATAAGGACTACAGATTAACGTTTCTCATAATACTTATCCATTATATATATTTGTGTTATTTAGATACATTATGAAGAAAATCTGAAAGTTGCATGAACTCTTCTAGCTCCTGGGAAAACAACTCAACCTTAATATCTGAATTACCTATGGGCATTTCCATCTCCCTGCTGCAGAAGTGTGATGATTTCTGGAACGAAATGTGCAGGGTCTCTAGGACTTAGCAAGTACAACAAGACCTTCTTTCCATATTTGTTGTTTATTATATTGGGCAAAGAAGAATTTATTTCCTGTAAAAGTAAACAAATAGCAACAAAATATTAACAAAATAAGTTTTCAGCCACCTGTAATTACTGATTACCTCTCACGTGCAAAATTTAGGAAAAGAAAACTACATACTAAGAATAAGATTCGTATCTGCTTGTGAATTTAAAGAAAAAAATACTCTAATGAGCATGAAAGTCTGGAGAAGTGAAATAATATTAAGGTTTAAAGTGTGTTCATCAGATGCATTAGCGCCACTGACTAAAAACACTGCAAAAAGGGCAGGATTTGTTTTCATTGATACATAAAAGAACATAAAATAACACATATTCTCTGGTACATCATACGCTGTACAAATACAACCTCAGTAGAAGTCATAACCTCAGCAGACTAGACAAAGGATCACCTACCACATCAACTAAGAGTAATCACCGATATTGTGCTTTCAAGGGAGCGTACATAAGGACCTAGACCGCACCGACAGTCCATGGGGAAGAAAGGTCCATTCTAAAATAAGCATAGAATATTCATCAAGAAAAATTAAGTCTCAATAATAGACTAAAGCTGACTTCTGTGGGGAGTACTATTTGCAGTTTGTCTGAGCATGAACAGGTCAGTTGTTGGCTAGGAGTTAGCAACTTTGCAAACTACAGAGTGGGCACCTCATACAGTTACGCAAGAACAAGGCTGAGGAAGAAATGCATTAACATGCAGGGAAGTTCCCCTGTCTATAGAAGTATGCTGCTATATCCACAGGTAATTTTCGTCAGCTTCTCAACAGATGTCCTTTCATACAGCAAGACGCATGTTACGCAAGTTCCAAGTGACACTGGAGAATCCTGCAAACTATCCAGATACTCTTGACCATCACAACAGTCCATTCCTGGCAACTTTTAATATGCATATAAAATTTGATTATCAAAGCAAAGGAGGGCTGTACAGAGCTCTGGGCACTTGTTTTGCAGGCCACAGCTTTCAAAAACTCTTTTTTTTCCCACCATCAAAATCCTTCCAGCAACAGCTGGAAAGATTAATATAACAATTTATACCAATATCACCCTTTATTAATATGGGCAGTGGTTGTTTGTCATTGAGGGAAACAGAAACAGAGAAAGGTGGCTGGAAGCTGGCAGGAGATGGTAAGACAATGTCCTTATTTCAAAAACTTTGCTTACACCCAGGTGAAAATGAGTTTTGGTAAAGAGAGACGAACATCAGTTTGATGAAGCACTTTAATTATGAATAAAAATCTATTACTGTAACTTTCACACTCTGGGCATGGAGAAAAAATAAACAAGCAAAACCAAAAAACCTGAGGGGAAAAAAAAAAATCTGAGCCAAAACCACAATCTGTCTTCTGAGCACATACATTCCAATTCAGATGTATGTGAGGTTCATTTATCAATCAAATAGACAAAGGTGCTGAAATATTCCAAAATTTAAAATAGGTAGAGAAAATATTTAGTTTATAAACATATCCAAAACAGTATGTAAACAAACACAAAAATAATCTCCTTTCTGAAATCAATCTATACCATGACCATTTTGCATAAAAGATAACAGACATATTTTTCTTTAAGTCCTCCAAAAGTGCATCTCACCCACTGGTGCCATGACTCTGGAGAATTACTAAATTTGGTCACTATTAGTGTCACATCTGTGGGAAAGGAACAGGAGAAACTCTAAATTACACAGGCATGCTATCTCTAGTCAACAACATCTCCCTAGCACTACCTGCTTGGAGTACTCACAAGTATTTCCCACTAAAACCTGCCCGTCAAGCTCACGAGGTACAGCTCCAATCACACAGGAAGGTTTAAAGCCCCACACATACTCCTTGGTGTGGGACTGAGATTCCATGAAGCCGAGAGATCACGAGAAGCAAAGACTTTCCTCGAAAGATTTAAAGAACTTAAAACCCCTCCTTTACCTACAAATTCTGAGCCATTTTGGCAGTCCACATTAAGTGATTGTTTTTGTACTACTATTATAAAGAAGAGAAAAAGCAGAAAGAGAAAAAGCAGAAAGAGAAAAAGCAGAAAGAAGCAGAAATAGAAAAACTAGAAAGAAGCAGAAAGAGGAAAGAAACCAAAAGACAAAACCATAGACACTTGCCTAGACACTGCTTTTTCTCCTCCCTAAATCTTTATTATTTTCCCTATATTTCTTAAGCTACAATTTACTATGTACAGAATGATAACCGGTGAAAAATGTTTTAAAAGTGTAACTGCTCTTTAAGATAACTTTACAGGTTGGATTCTTCTATAGAGTACGCTTCAATGCTTGATTTCTAGACGCTTCTACCTCATGTTCTGCTACTAGTTTTCATGCATCATCTAAAGAGCTGGTTTTGACCTTAGCTGGTGTTTTTCCCTTTCCCCTGACATTCTTTCCCTGACCTCATATAAAGCCAGATAGGGCCAATTTTGCATGTCTGAAGGTCACTCCTAATTCTCCTTTACTCTTCTGTCCAGACTGATGCAGTAGGATGACCAAACAATACACAGTCCATTATCTTTCATTTCAGATGGTAAAAAACCACTGACGATTCAGGAATTAAATGACACCTTGGAAACTCAGCTGAAATCAAACACAGTATCTGAACTGATAAACCTCCCAGAAAGCAGTGCTTGTAA